ATGTTATTTTTACATCTCGTTTTCTTCTTTTTCTTTTTTTTTTCTTTTTTTCATTTTTTTTTTCTCGTAGTAGAGCTTTAGAAGGAATGAGTTGGGGGTGACGGATAAAGGATTTATCTAATCAAGGAATTTCAGTGATGCACGTCTCTATTGTTTTTTAAAACATGGGTGATTTAAAAAAAAATGAAAAGAAAGAATGATGGTGTGATATCGTAAATTTGTTGATGGATTATGAGGAATTTGAATTAGATAAAATTAATGGTTGGTATTTGTTTGGTATTTTAGTGTATATATTTTTTCAAAAATATTTTCTATTTAAAAATATTTTTAAAGTTTTTTTCATTACCATGTCAAAACCATTAAAAAAAACTTAAAAAATATAAAGTTAATAATTTTTTCAAATCACACACAAATAATAGAAGCTATTATATTCTCTAACACTGATTTTGTGTAAGAATATAAAGTTAACCAGAGCCTTTATCAATTTAACTAAGTGGGTTCATAACACTATTTGTCCTTGACTTTGCTCATATTATATAGTTCGGTCCCTTAGTTAATTGATTCGCCTATTTTATACTCTTTCATTTATACATAGCCTTTCTTTCTTTTCCCTCTAAGAATGAATTTTGAGAAGAAAAAAATTAAATAAAAAAGAAGGGTAATTGTATTGAAACCTAATACAGCGATAAAGGAGAGGGAAAAAAATATATATATTCAAGTATAAAATTGGATCTCGCATATCATTTTTTTCTTTCCTGAAAAAAGCACAAACTAAGGCTTTATTTATTTAATAAAAAGTAATTTTTTTTTAAAAGTGAATTATTTTTCGATATTTGATAGTGTAATAAAAAATAAGTTGGAAAACACTTTTTAATATTTGGTTATGTAATAAAAAATGATTTGGAAAATAACTTATTAATGTTTTATTTTTTTCAAGTTTATTAAAATAATAAGAAACAAATCTTACAAATTAAAAGGTTAAATGAGAATGAAATTGAAAAAAATATAATTTAATAATTTATCTCAAATAAAATAAATAATAATAGAAATCAAATCTAACAAATAAAAAAATTAAAAGATAAAGAAATTAAAATAATAATGATAACCATTTCATAAATTATTTTAAATAAAATAAATAACAAACAAAAGAATGAGAACCAAATTTGATACGTAAAAAATTTCAATTTAAAAATGATAAAGGAAAAGCAAATAACAATTATAAAAATAAAGATCAAAGTTTAATATAAAAATCAAATCTTAAGAAATAAAATTAAAAAACAAATATTCAAAACAAAATATATATAGCAATAAAAAATTTTGAGCACCAAATTTGATATAATCAGCAATTAACATGACATTTTAAAATTTTTCACTCCACAACTTTAGACACGTGTCTTAAGTCAAACTCTTCATGAGCTCGAGTATGCACCTCAAATCTAACACTCGTTAGAAAAAAAATTTGGGACCCAGATGAGTCTCTTAATATTTATATCAACACAACATATATTATCTTGAATATAATATAATTTAAAATATCATAAAAGTAAAATTACACTTTAACCCCTCTTCTACATAAAAGAACAAGATTCATGGGATATAAATATATCATGAATCATTAAGTCGAAGATGAACAATCTTTTGAATATTAACATTTTTAACATATATATTTTCATAGTCTATCTTTTTAAAATATCATTATATTTTCTCTTTCTGTAAAATTATTGATTTTACTATGGAGAATTCTTATGTACATCAAAAGAAACCTTTTGTAGTTACTACAAGTCACATGATTTACTAGGCATCACTTGTTACTACAATAACTATCAATTATCTGGCTTAACAAATATCACATGCTACCATCATAGCTATGGATCATATGACTCACTCGACGTTACCTGTTAACACCATAACTATCGATCACCTAACTTAACAAACATCACATGCTCCTATCACAGTTATCGATCACGTGACTTGCTAAACATCACATGTTATTATCATAGTTATTGGTTACCTAATTTATTAAGTATTACCGACTACTATCATAATTTATCGATTACCTTAACTTACTGGATATTACCTACTACTAGCTATCAATTCATTAATTTTTTTGTATTAAGCTACCAAATACCATAACTATTAATAATAAACTAAATTATTTAAATAAAATTTTTTAAAAATTATTTAATATATCAATTTTATTTTTAAGCATTTTATATTTTAAAACTCATCACTTCTCTACAAGCTATAAGGATTATTCAATTTCCAACTCGTGTGTACTTGGATTCTATTTATAAGGAATATCTCTATATTGGCATTTTAAACGATGAATCCCGTATTCAAAAATAAAATATCAAATTCATTGAATGCATACTATTAGCCACGTGCGAGGTAACATTGGTTATCATGAATCTATTTTGTTGCCATGCTTGCTTCAAAACATCAAAACATTTTGTCGGCAGGGCATCTCTTAATTTTTTTTTTTTAGCAGATGGTGTCGCTTAATTTACAAGTCGTTGTCATAAGATATAATATCCAGAACTCTTTTTTTTTTTTTTCCATCTAGAACTGCTTATAATGTTTTTTTTTATACCTAATAAATAAATAAAATTATTTACTTATAATTAAGTTTTAGCTTTTGAGCCATTATGTTCCGAATAAATCTGTATTATGCATAAGATATAACTGAATTTATAGCTTTTTTCTTATCTTTTTTTATTCATGAATAAGTATTTGTTTGATGGATGTTCATTTTAATAATATTGATGTTTTAATTAAATTAATTTTTATATTATATTCTTATCAAACCTAATTTTTTAACTTTTGAAGATTTTTTTATCCAGATTATATAATCATGTGATCACGTGATTTTTATCTTACAGTACGACATTAAATAACGAAGAAAAGGAAGTACAAGATTTGGACACAGGAGACGCTACACGAGTTATAGACGAACCCAAAACCCAGGCCTGAAAGATAAACTCGAGACACGTTTGGATTGAAAAAAATAGAAAAAAAAAATCTTGATCAACTCAATAAAAAATCTTGGTTAACTTAATGACGCAGTTAAACTTAATTAACACTCAACTCTCAACCTATTGATTTGTTTTTCTATAAAAAATAACAGAAAACAATATTGTTTTGATTATAATAATAATAATAATTATTATTATTACTGCCTTGCGAAGGGCAATCCTCCTATGAAGTTGTACAGCCATGACAAGGGCACGAGGCGATCCGTGTTTCATCGTTAAAGATTCAAAGAGGGGAAACGAAACAACAGGGAAAGAAGGCAGAGATGATAAATAAATAAGAACGCAAGAAAAGAGACGGTGGAGTCGGTTTTGGCAGTTCAGCAAGGAAAGGAGCGTGACTGGCACGTGGCAGTGGTGGGGGAGGAGGCCGTTAGAGAAGAGGGTAATGGCGAGTGGGGCTCCCATGACAGGCTGGACTGACAAGATTTTAGCACCGTTCGTCCCCTGATTCTGCTTCTCAACTCTTGTCGTTTTCTGCCAGCTCACCACTTCCGTGCGTCCTTTTCACTCCCCCTTCTCATTTTAAATCAATTTTAAAAAAAATCCATCGGACGTGAATGCTCTCCAGCCTGTCTTTGGTCAAAGTCACCCCTCATTTTATTGGCCTTTTCTTTTAAAAAATATTATTATTTCCCCCTTATCGGATAAGAATCACATTCACATCTCCCCCTCCCGTCCATGTCTTAATCCCCACGTTTTTTTTTTCATTAAAAAATCCTTTTATTATAATTAGAGTAGTTTACATGTTTTAAAAATGTTTCTAAAATTAAATATGAAATTAAATTTTTTGATATAATTTTTTTATGTTAATATAAAAGTTTATTTTTTTATTTTAATATAATTTTAATTAAAAAATATTTTACACCACGTTACTAATTATACAATAACTAAACTTGTTTAACTCCTTGATTTATTAATTTAACTCTTAATTAGGATTATATAATTGAAAATATATATATATATATATATATATATATATTAATAATACTTTTTGGTTTTTATAGGTTAATTCTTTCTGCCCATAACTAAGATCTTGGACTGTGGATATAATCGATCGCTCTAATTCTATTTCTGATACAGTTTCTTTATCTTAATTGATACATTTGATTAATCTATCACTCTAATTCTACCTGTTATTTTGGTTTTTTATACCGCGAAATTATTCCTAGATATTATTTATTAATAAATAGTTATTTTTAAAAGTCAAATCACGAGAAAATACCAGTCAATAATGCTAATCAACTAGCACACTCTTGTGAATAAATTAAAATTGCCAGAGATATGATTCAAATAAAAAATGCCCTCACACTCCAAAAGCCCCCTTATCACCTGACTCCCCACCGAGAGCTCTACCTAATAACTGCATTTTTTTATGACTCCCAAAATAACAGCAGGGTCAACTCTTGATGGAGTCTTGTAATTATCTATAATTTCTTTTTTATTATTTCAAACTCTACAATTCCTATCTAATATGATTAATTAATTTAATTTGGTTATAACACCGCAGTCCCAACAAATAACAATATAATCTTAAAAATAAAAGAATCTCAAAATTTGAATTTCAGTGAGGCATTTTTAGTTTTTTTCCTCTATTGGCGAGTGAACTTGACGAGCTGTGCAATGCCCATCGCAGATAGTCAGTTACTTCTATCTCGAGTGGAAGGGAGGAGTGATTGAAACACTGTTCGGTGCTGCGGCATTGGTCGTGTTTTTTTAAATAATATATTTTATCTATTTATTTTTCTCTTTTTGGATTTTTTAGATAGTATTTGTTATTGTTTACTTTTCAAATAGCTTTTAAAAAGTTAGATAAACGAACAGATGACGCGTGTTAGTTTGACAGCTGTTTACTAGTAACTGCCTTGCCAGGAAGAATCCTCACTCTTTTAACGGCCATAACCGGTCATTGTAACCGGCTTAACCAGTCATCCCTAACCCTTCCATGTATATATATATACCCCCGTTTCCACTCCTTCCACTGTTCTTTCATATAAACCACGGCGAGGCTCTGCCTCCACCACTTGAAAAGAAATTCCTCCTCTTAATTTATATTCAATTTAGGGTTTAATTTATCTCTAAATCAATCCATGGCTTCTACGAGAAAAGATGTGGATCGGATTAAAGGTCCATGGAGCCCCGAAGAAGACGAGGCGTTACAGAGATTAGTCCAAACCTATGGACCAAGGAACTGGTCTCTGATAAGCAAATCAATCCCTGGTCGATCTGGGAAATCATGCAGGTTGCGATGGTGCAACCAGCTATCCCCTGAGGTCGAGCACAGACCATTTAGTGCTGAAGAAGATGACACAATCATCAGGGCCCATGCTCGTATCGGCAACAAATGGGCCACCATCGCCCGCCTTCTCAATGGGCGCACCGATAACGCTATCAAGAACCACTGGAACTCAACCCTCAAGAGAAAATGTTCCTCCATGTTTGATGACTTAAACGACGACGCACAACAACAGCCTCTTAAAAGATCCGCAAGTCTCGGGGCGGGTTCGGGTCTACACTTGAACCCGAGTAGCCCATCCGGATCCGATTTGAGCGATTCAAGTATACCCGGCGTGAATTCATCTCCCGTTTTCAGGCCGCCAGCCAAGACCGCCTCTCTTGTCCCACCTAGTTTGTCGATTGACGTGTCCTCTCCGACCGTCGATCCACCGACTTCATTATCTCTGTCTCTGCCTGGATCCATTACTTGTCAGACTCCGGGTTCTGGCTCAAGTTCTGGATCCCATGTTGTTAACCCGACACCTATGGTGCAAACAGCTGCTGCACCCCCACAAGCTGCAGTGGCTGTGCAGCAACAGGAGCAAGTTTCATTTCTGCAACAGAAGAATCCTGGGTCTCGACTTGAGAACCAGTTTTTCAGCGCTGAGTTTTTAGCAGTCATGCAAGAGATGATAAGGAAGGAAGTGAGGAACTATATGTCTGGGATTGAGCAAAATGGGCTCTGTTTGGGAACAGAGGCTATAAGGAACGCTGTGGTTAAACGAATTGGTATTAGCAGAATCGAGTAGCCAAGCAGAAGAGAAGTAGATTGTTAGTGACGGCCATGATCATGATCATCTGGGCACGATGATGAAGCAGCTGAGTTGAGTCGGAGAGAGAATGAGAGGAGGGCAAAAAGGAGAAAAAACTGTTTTTTTTTTTTTTTTTAATTTGTTTTCTTTAAAGTTGCTTTAATCGTTGCTTTATACAGAAGTAATAATTTTGGTAGTGTACAGAGCAGTTTTCTTCGGCAGGGAAGAAGAGGATCTCGAAGGAACAAAATTTCTTTTGAATATAAATTGAAAAAAAAAAAAACAATCTTTCCTTTTATTTTTAATAATCTTTAATTTAAATTCAAGAAAACTGGAATTAAATGACCTGCACTGAAGTAAAGTGACGCACAGAAAGGACACAACCGTTTTTGTTTGTATACAGAAAGAAAAACCAAAAGATGATTTTGTTTTTCCTTTGGAAATGGAGAAAAAACTCAGACCGAATGATTTTGTTTGATTGTTGGCTTGCTTGATGAGGATGATTAGGGGGTTGTACCTGGTAATTTTAAGGATAAATTCGGAATGGTAATAAATCTTTTTATATTTCGAAAAAAATAAACTAGATAGATAGATATAAACTTGAGACGGGGATTGGAACCGAAAATTAAAACTAATTATCTTAATTGAATTTCTGGATTTATAAAAAAACTTGAATAATAATTGTAACCGTTCTCCCGATCCATCAAACAAGATTTTCAAAAAATAAATATGAATAAATTACACTTTTTGGAATTTTGTGTTGGACTTTTAGGTGGCGTCTTTCGGGTCGTTTTAACCAGGTTGGAAGGATTGAGTTTGTTGCTTGTGGTTGATGACTCCACTTAATTAACGGTAAGAAAAAAACATTTGAAGATTCGGTGGATGCATTGATTGGATGGGTACTAGGGGAAGCTGGTGCTTAATTTGAGGATGTTTCCGATTACTGTTCATTCATTATTGTTGCCACTAAAGCATCCAGGGAAACAGCTCCACAGATACTCTACTAAAATATCTTCAACCTTGAGAAGTCTCACGCAATCAATTATCCTTCCTTTTTGAAACGGTTTGCTCTCTCTTCCTTTTTTCTGCTTTATTTTTTCTAGTTGGGCTGGAGCCAGTCGAGTGAATTTGGTTATTGAGTAATTTGATTGGGTCTTAATTAACTCGACTGGGTCTATTATATTTTACAATGTTAATATTTTTTTATTTAACTTGAAATACATCTAGGTTAGGTCCAGATGGATGAGTTTTATGAGTTGACCTGCTATAAACAACCAACCAGGCTTAACATCTACGTTTTTATCTTTATTTTTAAGGTGAAGATTGATGTTGCACAGTTCATATCTAGACATTGTCAACAAGCAACAGTCGCAGCAAAACAAAAGAAAATAATGATGAAATGCAATAAAAAATGACCCAATCCATTTGATTTTTCTAATACTAATGCTTCGAAAAAAAAAAAAAAAAATAAAAATTTAAGGTTGAGAAATCATCCAATACTAATAGTTTCATTCATGTATAAGTAAATCCTTACTTGAAGTTAATGGCAATGCATTTACTAATGGCTTTCTCAGTCTTTACAGCTCTGTTTCTCTCTCTCTTCTGCTTGTTGCAAATTCGTTTTTCATCTTCTGCAAACCATAGATACTCTTCAATAATACCCATCCCTGTCAAATGAGAAATCAAACGATGTGGGTTCTAGTTTTCTGTAGGGGACAATGCTTTCAGCTTCCAACAATAGTTTGCATGGAAAATAGAGATCGACCAGTTAATGCCAAAGGCTCTCAAAGTTTTCCCTGTTGAAAACTGGAACGGTTTTTTCTCTGCTTGCTTTGATCATGCGGGGCAAAATTCAACTTCCCTCTCTCGAGTGCAGCTCCAACTGTACTAAACAGTGGCATCCGGCAATCTTGTTCTTCAAACTCCGGAGAAGCTACCCTCTGGAGAAGCTTCAAATCAACAAAAATTGTCTTATCCCGTCCAGAAGTCAAAGCAACTACTCTCCTTGGCGTGCTGATTCATGGCCAGGCCCCATCATAACCCCAAGTTTTTAAACAAGATACCCTTCTGCTGGTACCGGTTTCTAAAGATTTGGACACGTTGAACTAGTTATGTGAATTCGAGTACACATTTCATAAAAAATAGTGCTTGTCGAGAAATTCTAGAGTATTCAGAGAGCGAATACCAACACAGAAAATAGAAGAATAGTTTGGGCTACAGGAGAATATTCTTATCACTGCTGTTAGACAAATTGAGTATTACACGAGTCTCATTGTCTTGAAATTTAACGAGGAAGATAAAAATCTGGGCATTGATTTAAACACAACTCTCTTAGATTTGTCAAAAGCCTCTCAACGAGATGCAGTTCCTTCACACACTAAAGTCGACTAAAGAAAAACAATTTGTAAATAACAATCTCAATTCCAAACCTAACTCTCTCTTGCTAGGTAGTGAAAGAGATTCTAATAAAGTTGGGCACAGCCTCCTGCGTGCCTTGCAAAACAAGATAGCTAAAGATAGGTGACAGATACCATCTAGATAATCAATTTAGTTTACGTAACAACTGGATTCTCACAAAAGGGTTCGCAAGTGAATGACATGCACTTGAATGTCAGAAGTTTTTAACAAAGAAAGGGGATAGATTAAAATGGTTTAGTTGTATTTGATGGTGTATTATGTACAAATTGACATCCTTATGCCCCCAACCTAGTGACCTTGTTTGATGGTGTTTGCTTCAGAATCTTCTGGGACATGATATCTAGAGAGGAAAAAAGCACTCTGATTCTTCTGTAGAAACCTGCATGAAAATAGACAGTATATCAGTATGACGGAATTCCTAAATTAAAAAAGAAAAACATGAAACTGAAGCATCATAGACACTGATTATCTGAAATAATTTTCCAGAAACATACACAAAGCAAGCTACGTCACTTGAATTCTGTTTGTTCCAATGAAGTTCAACAGTTGGAATTACACACAACAGTAAACTAAGTTAATTCTTCCGAGACTATTAGATGGGCTTAATTTCTGTGATAATATATATCTCTAATTGCCTCAAAAAGATGACATGAGCTCGGAATTCATGGTTGTCGGTGAGTATTGCAGATGAAAAATATGTACTGCAGACATCATGGTGCAGCTAGTCCAAGTTAGACTTCTGATCCAACTATCTTTTGCTCTTGATCAATCAGTATCTCGGGAAACTCAAACCCAAATAAAGGTGGTAAATACAGAACACAAGTCCAGCCATAAGGATTTATTAATGATTGGAGTTCCTACCTCAGAAAGTCAACAAATTTTTGGTGCAACTCTGTCAGTGTCTCCTCTTCAATGTTTGCATGAACCAATAACTCAGGCAACTTAACTGAAAATGCAACAAGGATAATATTAGCACAATAAGTTGAGATAGATAGCTAGTGTATTTCAGCATCTGTATTTCCAATAAATATCAGTACCACCATGCTATACTTCTCGAGGCCTGTGTACAGACAAATATATCAAGTACTAGTATGAACAGCAAGAAGCATCCTGTGAAAACGAGTGTTGGATAGAATTGGATGCTACATCTATTGCCAGAAGACAAGTTTCTAGCTCAATGATTTAAAAAAATGTGGACAAAGGAAACCAAACACAGTTTTCAAAGCTATTTTTGATAAAAAGAAAACATGATTTATTTTTTCCCACAGCAAAAAGTAAACATACCAAAGAGGCGTAATAGATGCTCAGCACCATATACCATTGAGGGAGAAACATCATCTCTAATTGCATAAGTATACTGTTGCCGCTCACTTTTATACAGAAGCATTGCTGGTAAGGCCTTGTCAAAGTAACAGCGCAAACCTTTCATAATTTCAGCAGTTGATTCAGGCATCCTACACCCATCAAATCATAAAACCTAAGAGCACTGAAAATACAGTTCAAGAATACTAGAACAGATGGGTACTTGCTTTATTGACAATAAAAAATCTAAACACTCTCCCCTCTCCTCTGGTCAGCAGAGAATAAAAAAGTTTCCAAATATATATTGCAATAATTGTTTCGATTAACTTGGGCTAAATCTTATAACTTAAGAGTAGCAGTCCCCAAGGGATAATAAAAAGCTGACAACAGAGCAGGTTCTCTACTTACATGACATCTTTTTTTGACCTGTACTCACAATACTTCTTACATATGTCTTGGACATTTGGGGTACGAGGAAGTTTCACAAGCTGAAAGAAAAGAGATAAAAAAAAAGTACATTAAATCAGTTATTAAAGCTAACTCTTCAGCTAAACAAACAGATATAATGCCAAGCTAATCATTAGAATGATAACACAATTATTTCAGCACTGTAGTAATCAAATCTTACTTGTCTATGCTGTCAAACAAGTTGAAATTTAAAACAGCCAGTCAGTAGTGCTGCTTAATTAGTTACAATTGAACAGAGAAATAAGTAAAACAGGCATGGAAAAGATGATGAAAGAAAAAGGAGAAAGAATTGGCGGCAAGGGAAACACAAAGAAATGTAACAGTGGTGTACACAAGTAATTTTAGAAAATATTTAAATCTGAGAAACCAGCTGTGAACAGTGACAATAATTACCTTGCTCTGATGAGTGATAAATTCACAATCATCAACAAGTTGTTTCTTTAGTGTTGGTGGAATTTGGAGATTCACCAGCTTTTCCAAGGGTACAAGATCTTTTTCCTAACAGTCAAAACAACAGGCTAAGCAAAAAGATGCCAAATGATCAATGGAAAACCTTTTAATTTTTTATTTTTTTTTAAATCTTAGCTGATTCAATTTTTTACGATAAGGAATATGCTTAGATTGACATAGGTAAACCAAAAGTGCACAAAGCTTCAATAAACCGGAGAGTACCTTATTATGATTGTCATTTTTCCGCTTCCTTCCCCTTGAAACTGCATATATGTCCCCAGAACAGCTTTAAGAAATAGCCAGTCCAAAGGATTACCAAAAAGAATCTTGCAATCAACAATTTTTTTTTTTTTTTTTTTTTTCCGCATGTAAGATTAAAGTAAACTTAGTGGAGGTTCTCCTGAATAACAAAGGTTCCATCTGTAATGGTAAATTAAGGCAACTTTTCCCTTCTTTGCTGGCCCAAAGAAAACCAATGATCTATTTTGGAAACAAACCATGGATTAGAATCCAAATTTAATGGATTTAATAACAAAGCATGTCATGCTATTAAATTTGCATCAAGATTAAGTGGCTGTTTGAATTGCTTTGAAAGACTTATTTTGACCTCAACCATCAAGTTTCCTCTTAATAAGACTGAAGTTGCATGTATCTCTAACT